TTTGATCTTCCCTGGTTTCCAATGCCGCCACTTGTTGGCCACTGCCAGGACATCTGGGGCCTCAATTGATCCGGAGAGGATCCACTCCTCGCGGTCCCGGATGGCCTGCTCCATTTCCAGTGGAGAATAGGTGTGCGATTGTCTGGCGCCTGCCGCACGGAACAGAAGTTGTTGCAGGGTCTTAGTGGCGAGCTCCAAATCCGCCTCCTCCAGCGGTTGTGGTTGGGAGCCGAGTATCCTTGCGAGGATCAAGTTGTAGGTGTCCGAGGCCACCAGGACATGGTTGCCGTCAGGTGCCAGCCCCACGATTCGTGTCCACGGCCGCGGGTCAAAGACCACCGCATCCGGGTTGGCAACCTGGTCCTTTTTGACCCATTCCAGGCAGCACGCCACGAGGATTTCCCCGTCCGACTGCACTGGTGCAAATCCAAGGTCATGCAAAATCAACTGGAACGCGGTTGGTACCCCAAGGAAGGTCGTTCCAAACGGGGAAGGGAGGCGGGGCCTCCACATCATCGTGATCCACTCGAGCCAGGAGCCTAATTCCTAGGCGCAAACCCCAACCAAACAACAGGGGAGCCCCCAAAACCCCGGAAAGCCCATCCCGAAACGGGGGAAAAAGGGGGGGGGGGGGGACCCAGGGAGCCGCCCCGGAAAGGGAAGAACCAAACAAGGGAGGGGAGCCAAGGCGCACCCCGGACCAGCCCAAGCGCGCCAATTTTTCTCGCCTGGTACAGGTCTAGGCCTGTGCTGTGCCCAGGGGGGGATATCAGCGCCTTCGGCAGCTGTCCCCCCCGGGGTGCGCTGCGAATCCGTTCCGGATGGCCGCAGTGCTGTATGATCATACGGCCCCCTTTGCAATGTCGTCAATGCGCTTGAGCGCCGCCGCCTCCGGATTCCGGAGAATCAGCTCCCAGATGGCGTTTGAAACATGGCCGGTCTGGGTGATGTGGCTGAACCTAAACCGGGGGACTTTCTGGTCCACCACGGAGACATCCCGCAGCGGGGCAGAGGGCTCTACCCGGCGGTAGAACTCCAACCGCTCCTTGACCCAGCGGTTGTACAGGCCATCCGGCGGCTCGTCCAGCACCAGCTGAAGGATGGCCTTGCCGGCCCGGATCTGGAGGAGGCGGGTGCCCCCTCCCCCGGCGCGCCAGTACCCCTTGCAGTACTTGCACATGTAGCCCCCCCGGGTCTCCCCTTTTGTCTTCGGGATGAGTTCCCACGGGGTGACGGAGCTCAGGACCAGGCCACACTCCATGTGCGCCCAGAAGACATGCTTCGTCTCCGCCGGATAGTTCTTCTTCCGGTAGTCCTTGCCCACCACGCCGTGGACGTTGTCCGATGTGATGGGGGGGTAAACGATCCCCTCATCGCCCTCTCCTCCCCTGGGGCGGATGTCAGGGCCATCGGCACCTGTCCGGCACCCAGGGGCGGAGGGGTCAAGGCCCATCAGCTTGATCATGTCGTTGGTGTAACCGGCCATCGGCACCTGCGGACCGGGCCGCCGTCCAGACCGCATTGCCCTGGTCATCCACCGTCAACTGCCAGTGCCCCCAACTCAAGCAGGGGGGCCTGGAGCGTGTGGTGGAGGCGTTCTACATCGCCAAGATGAAGTATGAGCATGAGGCCCGGCTCAGCACCCCGGGACAGCAGGTCGGCAAGCGCGCTGGCCTGGGGTATGGGGGCCTGGAGAACCGCCCCCTGGGTAAGGAGCCCACATCCTGGATCTGCCCCTGCTGCACCATGCCCTGGGTGAAGAAGGGCGCCAGGAAGTGTATGGGGTGCGGCAAGAAGACGGAGCCCATTGACATGGCGACCAACTCGACCACCCTGGAGATGGCGGGCACGCCCTCAAAGCCTCTCAGGAGCCGCTGGACGTCTTTGGCCTGCAGTCGGCGGAGCCTAGTGGCCGTGGTCGCGTCAAAACACGGGAAGTCGCCCGCCATCTGGTCATCGCTGAATTGGTAAAGGCCCTCAGAGACTTTGAGGGCCTTGGTGAAGACGCTTCCCCCCGGCGGGGGGGCTGCGGGGTCCTCATCCTCCTCCGAGGACGCCTGCTCCCTGACCTTCGCCATCAGATCACGGCGTCTCTGCCACTTGGTGTCGGACATCGGCAGCTCCTCCTCGTCTTCCGCCAGGAGTTCCTCCATGGGAACATCCTTCTCCGGCGGGTCTAGGAGCTCCAGGAACGCCCCTGGGGGGCGTGTCAGGGCCTTCGGCACCTGCGCCACCCCAGGGGCTGAGTCTGCCATCAGCTCGTCCTCTGCCTTGCGCTTGGCTGGGATGAGTGGGGCCTGCTCCAGCTCATCGGCGCTGGAGAAGAACCGCTCGTCAGGTGCCTGAGGGACCTCAGCAGCCAAGACGGTCCATCCTTCTTCCTCCTTCTTCACGAGGCTTGCCAGGTACTTCGCCATGGAGGCCTTTGCCTTCGCCTTGGCCTCTGCAACCGCGGCACCAGCGTAGGCGGGGGCGTACATGGCTTTGATAGGAGGGGAAAGAAAGATTTCAGATTACAAGACAGAAGGTCAGAGTCCACTTGAGCCAAAATGGTGGCCCAAGTGGACACTTATGAAGAGTCAAGACAAGCGACCACCTGCGGTTAACGCTTTAGCCCAGAGTCCCAGAGAAAACCTCCCAGAGGAACCTCCCAAAAAACCTGCCAGAGGAACCTCCCAGAGGAACCTTTCCAAAGGAACCTCCCCAGAGGAACCTCCCACAAAAAACCTCCAGAGGAACCTCCCAGAGGAACCTTCCACAGGAGGATCCTTCCAGAGGAATTTTCCAGAGGAACCTCCCAGAGGAACCTCTCAGAGGAACCTTCCAGAGGAACCTTCCAGAGGAACCTTCCAGAGGCTGTGGGAGGTTCCTCTGGAAGGTTCCTCTGGGAGGTTTCTTCTGGGAGGTTCCTCTGGGAGGTTCCTCTGGAAGGTTCCTCTGGAAGGTTCCTCTGGGAGGTTCCTCTGGAACTGGGAGGTGCTAAAAGGTTCCTCTGAAAGGTTCCTCTGGAAGAGTCTGGGAGGTTGCTCTGGGAGGTGTTTCAGGGAGGTTCCTCTAAAATATTCCTGTGGGAGGTTCCTCTGGAAGGTTCCTCTGCAAGGTTCCTCTGGATTGTCCCTGGGGAGGTTCCTCTGGGAGGTTCATCAGGAAGGTTCCTCTGCTGCAAGGGTGCCTCTGGGAGGTTCCTCTGGAAGGTTCCTCTGGGAGGTTCTTCTGGGAGGTTCCTCTGGGAGGTTCCTCTAGAAGATTCCTTTGAAAGGTTCCTCTGGAAGGTCTGGGAGGTTCCTCTGGGAGGTTCCTCTGGGAGGTTCCTCTGGGAGGTTCCTCTGGAGCTTCCTCTGGGAGGTTTCTCTGGGAGGTTCCTCTGGGAGGTTCCTCTGGGAGGTTCTTCCTGGGAGGTTCCTCTGGGAGGTTCCTCTGGGAGGTTTCCTCTGGGAGGTTCCTCTAAAAGGTTCCTCTGGGAGGTTTCCTCTGGGAGGTTCCTCTAAAAGGTTCCTCTGGGAGGTTACTCTTGGAGGTTCTGGTTCTGGGAGGTGTCTGGTTCTGGGAGGTTTCTCTGGAGGTTCCTCTGGTTCTGGGAGGTTACTCAGGGAGGTTGCCTGGGGGGTTCCTGTGGGAGGTTCTGGGAGGTGACCTGGTAAGGCCCCGTCAGGTGCTATGTGCGCTCTGTGGCTATGTTGACGCAAGGGAGGCGATTTCTTGCCTCGAAGGCTCTCAACTGCTTTGCAGTGCGAACAATGGGAAAAAATATAAGTCGCACAAGCAAAGTAGAAACCAAGTGGATCAGATAATTGTTGAACGTATTGCAACCACAAGCCATGCTGAATTGCTCGGTTTGCAATTTGCCCCCGACAAATGCTGGCAATAGCTAAAGAGTCAGAGAGTCAACCGTAGCTCACCGCCCGGAAACACGTCCAAGATTGGGCTTCGCAAAACTGGAAAAGAGCATTGGGAAAATGGGGGGCCATCTGTTACAACCCGCTGCTTGGCAATATTTGGTCTGAAAGGTTTTCCATTTCAAAGCCCAGGCTTGGAAACGTCCGACCATGCCGCCGTAACTTTTGGATACTTGGCGCATCGCATCCCCAAATCTCTCAACTTTTTGTCTCCAAAATGACACCCCCCCCCTCCTCGATGGCAAACGGAAAGGAAACCACAGGAGACCACACGGAAACCAGCCATTCCCAGCCCCACATCACCCTTCCAAATGGGCTTGCATTACAATACGGAACCTCAAAAATGGTGGTTTCCCATTTAGGCTCCCTGGAAAACTACTCCAAGCAGATGAGAACCTTTGGTTAATAAATAAGGGTTTGGTTGATTGAATTAGGTTTGCTCTTGACCTTGGGGGCCCAGATTTACTAGGGGTGGAACCCTGCATGTTGCTCGTTGGCAAGTGGGTAAATGGTCATCCGTGTCCTACTCATTGATCCTAAACAAACAACCACCCACATGTGTGTTTTCAACAAACGACAGCAAAGTTTGGAACCACGACAAAAAGACAATGCCTCACAAATATGTATATTATATATATAATGTAAAATCAACTTAGCATGTGTGAACCCACGAAAACTACCCTCATTGCTTCGAACAGAAAAAGGGGAAAAAAAGAAGGAAGAAACAACCCCCCCCCCCAACCCCAACAGCCCCGGAACCCACTCCGGAACCCTCCGGATTCCTCCTGAAAGCTGGCGCAAACCACCGCAAAGCCTAGCTGTTGGGGGGAAAAACATTTACTAACCTAACATTTACGCACCAACTCATGGCCTCTCCGGAAAAAAGAAGAAAAAAAAACAGAAACCAAAAGAACACGAAACAACGAAAGAAAACAAAGCAACCAAACAAAAGAACCCACATGAAAAACAACCACCAAACAAAGACCACAAACACCAAAAGGGAAAGAAGACGAAAAATCAACAACCAAAGAAGAAAACAAGTGACACAAACAAACATAATATTATATATATTTAAAAAACAAAAAAAAAAAAAAAACCGCTCGCCTCCTTGGAGCCCAGCTCCAGCACCTCCCGCAGCAGCTTTTCCGCCGCCTCCCCCTCGCCCCGCACCCGCGCCAGGCGGCCTCGAACTCGGTCGAACTCGGATCCCGGGAATCGGACCGCCGACCGCCCGGATCTGGTGGCGAGCAGGACCCCAGCAAAGACACGGGCGGTTTCAGCAAAAAATAAAAAATCGAACCAATACCATCGGAAGCACATGTTTTTTTGCAATAAGTCGCCTTCCTATAGTGATAGTGAGTGCCCAACTGGTTTCGGCAAAAGAAAAATGGAACTACCCTCACTCCGACTAACATGGCAGGTGCCCTACAAGAGGAACATTATCTTCCAGGCGCCCTCCAGGTGACGGTGATAGATTCCCTCCAAAACAAACAGGGGAAACAGAAATTAGTCCATTGATGCCTACCGCTTTTTGTACGTTTTGAAATATTGCAACAACTCGTTTATATAATTATGTAATATTCTTGTTTGCTATTCTAAAACAAATTAAATCATATTGTCGTTTACCTCTTTTACGTTCGGAACCACATGTGCGTCATCTGTTTGGCGGGGGGGGTTAAAGAAAACCAATTGGGGTCCCCTATACAAACACACATCCCACATTATTTTAGGAGTTTATGTCCAGGGTGTATATGTCCACGTCCCAGAATCACAGAACAGGTATACCTTGAACCAAGAGTTCTCAAAATGCACCTCTTTTGGTATTCATTGGGAAAACCACAGAGCTTAGAGGACCTCTACTTTGAGAAAATGTCCAGCCAAAGAGTCCGCAATTGACTCGAGGCTTTGTGATCAGATCGCCTTTGTTGCCTTCGAAACGGTTTTTTTGAACAGGGTCTTCTGAAATTGTTTGCCAATCTAGAGGTTAATCCCCCAAGGGCTCTTTGGCACTGTGGATGCAGAGGCAAATCTTTGAAAGAGGATTCCTAGAAAGAATGGGTGGAAAGTACAGCTATGGTTTTTCTTCAAACAATCCCCCAGGCGCCATGGTCTTTCAGAGAGCACAAAAAAGGATGGTACATGTCGGCCATGCATTTTCATTGGGGATCATGTGACCATCCTTACGGGACTTTCCACCAGGTGCCGACCCGCCTCCATAACACATAGCTTCACTTGGACGCTATGGTTGTCCTTTGGTACTGTTGACCCCTGTATTCTGAACCCCCCCCCCACTTGTTCCTGAAAAAAGGGCCGACTTTTTTAGTGGATTGAACTCACGAGGAAAAAAAAACTGCGGTCCCCTGGTCCCTGGTGGTTTTGCTTTATGACTACTTAGGTGAATTAGGAAAAAACAAAGCTGTCCAGTCGGAACGAGAAGCTCAGGCGCCAGAGGGCCGCCTCCTTGAACGAGGTGTTCCTCGGACCGACCCGCGCTCTCTCGCGGGGTCTGATCGTCGAAAGGGTTCCGCTTGCGGCGCTCAGGGCTTTGGCGGCTTGGGTACCTTTGGGCGGCTTGGTGTCAAGAAAAAATGAGTTCAACGCCATGGCCCCCCCCCCTCCCCCCCCCAGTTTGACACAAGACATGTAACCTACCACAGTAGATGGACTTCTCCCATTTCCCCCTTTGAGTTGCCCCCTGGCCGACTCAAAAAACCAAACGCACTGGGCACCACTCGAGACAACGAGCTCGAGCGCCGGTTTCGCCGGGCCACAGCATGGCCCTAAAGAGGGTCTCGGCCTGGGCGTCCTTGTCGTCCAGCTCGTAGGCGTAGCCCAGCAGGCTCCAGAGCGACTTGTCCTCGCCTGAAGAACAGGGAGGGGGGGGGGGGAGGTCTGGGGCTTTGCCGGGGTTTCTCGATGGTTTCTCGCTGGCTCGTTGAGCAGTGGACAGGCGAAGATGCTGGAAGAAGAAGAAGAAGAAGAAGAAGAAGACGAAGAGTGTGCAGACTGGGGCCCCTATATTTAACATCACCCCAGAAGGGACCAAAAGGTGACGCTTGACACCACCAGCAAAATATGGGAAGCTCTGATTCGAATTGGTGCACTGACTCAGAGCCAGGGGAATGTTGCAGTTGGGTCACTGCAGTCACTGTTGTTCGAAGCTACGAACAGAGTTGCTCCAAACCAAAAGCGCAATAAAACAACACATGTTTTTCTGTTGTTGACTGTAGGGGCAAATTCTCCCGCGGCTGAATCACCTACATTTCTCTCCTATCATGACGGATGGTTTCACAATCCAAATGGACATGGCCCATCCGCGTCCCCCCCCCCCACAAAAAGAAAACAAACAACTGCCTTGTACATGGCTTTCCCGTATATCCAGTTGCGGTGGGGTGGGGGTTGATCAATATTCCTGGCCCCCAAGTGACCATGGGTAACTGTTCCATTTAGTGGGAATTGTCATCATTAGTGGCTTTCCCCAATGATCATCCCATGCAAAAAGACCTTTTGATCAACACCCATATGTGACCCGTTGGTATGAACCCCTAGGTTCATAGTTTATGAACCGCTGGTGTAGTTCTTGGGCACCAGCCATGAGTAAGTTCACATCTGGATCCACAAGTGGTCCACTTTTCACGGCCGCGCGGCGCACCTTTCAGGGCCACCCACCGACCGATTCGGAACGGGGACATGCCTCGACTCGACTCGAAGGAAACGCCAACCCATTTCTTGGGTCCCCGGGGGTCATTTTTGATCTGAAGCGGAGAATCAAGCACAAGCGCCCAGGCCAAAGCTTGCTTCCGATCCACCACTCACCTCCCGAGTGGATTGGCTCTCGGTCCGCTTGGCAGAAACTTTCATGGCTTACCCACAAAAAGCAAAGCGCGAGACTTGCGAAAGTCAGTCACCTGCCTCTGTGCTGCAAGGCTTGTAGCAGGTGTGGCACAGCCTGGATGCGAGGGATCCGAGGCAATCGGCGTTGGGGGAGTTCCGGTCAAGCCCTGAGAATGGGAGGTTGCCTCTGTTGGAAGAAAGATATGCTGAAATCAGTGTAAAGATCCTGGAGCCACCCTTTGTGAACCTGTCACGCTGCATTCTGGGAAGCTGCCACGCTGTTGCCGCAAACCAGAGGCCAAACCACTGGGCTGATTCGGAACAAGGCGCCCTGGGCCACTAGCCTCAAGACGCACCCGCTGAAGACGTGGCCCTCAGGCTTTGTCGCCCGGCGCGCCGGTGCGGACCGTTGGCCCATGTCTGGGGTACGCAAAAAAACAACATGTCTGCTTCATATTTGGCATACCCCAAAAAAAAAACTACGTTTGATTTCTGCTTGGGGCGCGCCGAAAAGGAACGTACCTGGACTTCAGTTGCCAGCATAAAAAGCAATGGCGGATACAGTAGTGTCACCGCCATTGTTTTCCTAGAATGTCTGATTCAAGCCCAATTTGGATTGAGCTCAAGTTTAGTTGATGAGACATGGATGTGAATATGGATGTAAGTGATATAAGTGCAATCATATGATATGTGTATATATCTTCATAGATATGCAAATCGCTACATAGATATGTAGATGTAAATATAAATATGTATACACATGCATGCATTAGGTTGGCTCAACAAAGTGTTGCCGGCTATCACCTTCTTGAGGCGCTCAGCATGGGCAAATGGATTTGTGATCCTTTGCCCCTTGCACGTGCCTGATTTTTGGACCCCCTAATTTCCAAGCTAGTTGCAGGGAATGCTGGTGATGTTGTCTGGTGACGCTGAGGATGTTAAAGGGGTCGGATTGTGAAGTTCCAGGAAATGCTGGCGATGTTGCTGGGTTGGCCGGTGATGAGGGTCGGATTTTGCCGGCCATGCTGGTGATGTCGGACGGCGATGCAGAGGATGTTAAGGGTGTCAGGTCCAGGCAATGCTGGCAATGTTGGTCAAGAGGATGTTCTGAGCTTGCTGGCCGTGTCGGCCAGTGACTGGGGACGTTAATGGGTTGGCCCCCCCTAACGCTCCAAGGCTGAGGATGTTCCGCGCTGGGGGAGCCGGTGGCTTCCCCTGGTGTCCCCTGAAGATTGCCCCAAAAAGGGGGTCCCCCCCACGTGGCAGGGAACAATGCGTATAATGTGAACCGGCTCCTTTTTCAGCACTTGCCACTTGATCTGCGCGAAAAAAGGGATAGCAGCGTCGCAGATTTGCACGGTCAGGTCAATCCAGAAACTAATTCCAATTCAACATTTTTTATAATCTATTTTAGCGTATCTCATATTTAATTATCTTTCTCAGCTCTTGGTGTTTCTCTTGCCTTGCGATTATTGATGTCATGGACTGCAGAAGTCTTATCAATGGAGCAAAGTAGAGACAAGTGATTAATTAATAGGTGATACAGAAATGACCAAGACTTGGTACTGTAGATTACAATAATCAATTCATAATTGGGTCTAGAGAGTCTGTAGACAGGAAATGCCTACCAATAAGATCTCAAGGAAGGGTGGGCTAAGGAATCTCCATTGCTTATTTCTCCCCCCTTCTTGTTTCCCTTTATCACCCCAACTCTTTTTCTCGGAAGCAGAGGTTGGGTGATGGGAGGTAGAGAGGGAGAGAAGGGCGAGAGAGAGGAAACAACTCATTGATTGGCCATCTCACGGCCCCATCCCCTGACCTCATTTTCATTGGCTGGGAGATGGATGAGAATGGGAAAATATATTCTTGGAAAGTGAAGATATGCCAAGAAAAAATGGCGAGAGGGGAGGATGGCTGTCTGGCCTCATGATTCAAGCCTCTATCTTACCACCTTACCACCACCCTTTCTCCCCGTCATTTCTATTCCTCACCACCTACAGCTTCCTTGAAGCTGAGATGGAGGTGGGGGCGGGGAAAGAGATGAGAGAGTGGGCAAGGAGATGGATGGCCATCCAACCATCTTGTTTCCTTAGTCATCTGGGTTCTTCATTCTAATTCTCTTTCCTATCTCTTTCCTAGCCGTTTCAACGGTGAGAATGGAAAGGAGAAAAGAAATTCTTTCCAGCAGTTACAAATGAACTCCTCTTTCTTCACCTCTTTTCAGCTTCTCTTTCCCAACCTCTTGCCCAGTTATAAGTTTCTTTTGGAAACGAGGGAGGTCAAGAGAAGGGAAGTGAATGAAAGCTAGACAAGCTGGAATGTCCTTATTGTCCAATTCCAATCATCTTTACCTGTCATTCCCGTTCTCTTTTAATAGCTTTGGGAGTGACATGAGAGGGAAATAGAATGGAGAAAGCGAATGCAAGAGATGGAAAGCATCTCAAATGATAAAGCGTCTCTGATTTGTACTCTTAGAATATGGAAACATTTTTATGATAGTAACATCTCTTTCCCTGTCTCTTCCTTTCTTGCCCTGACTCTTCGCTCGCTTCTTCACTCATCATCACCTGCAAGCGAGAGAAAAGGAGATTAAAAAGGTGGGTGAAGGAGAGAGTGGGTGGGCTCACCTTGTCACGTTTTCCCTCTCATCCTATCTCCTCCCTCATCCACATCCAAGATTTAGAAGCTAGAGATGATGGGAGGTAGGTAATGAGAGGTAAAAAGTGAGAGTGATGATGGCGCCTTCTCTTTCATTAGCCATCATATGACCGCCCTCCATCTCTCTCTCTCTCTCGCTCTCTCCGGTCGTTTACCTGGCATGCGACCCCTAGAGTTCACAACAAGTAGTGGAAAGAGACATTGCCCAGCTCCAGCTCTAACAGGTAGGATAATGATGGAGGAGCTGGTCATCTCCCTCTCACACGCCTTCCCTTGCCATCTCTTTATTCTGGAGTGGCGGGGATTGTACGCAAGAGAAAGGAATGCAACTCCTTCTCCTTCTCTATCACCAACATCTCCTTCCCCTTAACCATGTCACAGAATCCAGAACGTCTTTCATGTCATCTGGGTTCTTCATTCTAGTTCTCTCTCCTATCTCTTCACCCCTTCTTCTTTCCTAGCCGTTGCAACGGTGAGAATGGAAAGGAGAAAGGAAATTGATGACGAGAGAGGTAAAGTGATTAGATAAGAGGTGGCCAGAGGAAATCCCATCCGCTGGCCAGTTCTTTCCAGCAGGTACAAATGAATTCCTCTTTCTTCACCTCTATTCAGCTTCTCTTTCCCAACCTCTTGCCCAGAAACGAGGGAGGTCAAGAGAAGGGAAGTAGATGAAAGCTAGACGAGCTGTCTCTTGCTCTCTCCGTTGGCCCACCAGCTCTAACAGATAGGATAATGATGGAGGAGCTGGTCATCTCCCTCTCACGCGCCTTCCCACGCCATTTCTTCATTCTGAAATAATGGCAAGGACTCTACGTGAGAGAAAGAGATGTCACCCCTTCTCCCTCTCTTATGTTGGCTCTAGAGCTGGCGAAGGCATGAGACGAGCTGAAGCTCCATTGCCTGTCCTTTCCTATCTTCTCTCCCGGTCTTTAAGGAGAGATAAAGGATGTGGATGAAGAGATAATGATGGACGAACGAAGAGAGAAGCCTTGTGAGGGCTGGCCCAGCATTCATCTCTATCCCTCACTCTCTATCCTTCGTCTCCCAAGCCTTTATCCAACACACAGCTACTTGCGGTTGTGGGTAAAGGCGTGGTCTCCCGGTCTTTAAGGAGAGATAAAGGATGTGGATGAAGAGATAATGATGGACGAACGAAGAGAGAAGCCTTGTGAGGGCTGGCCCAGCATTCATCTCTATCCCTCACTCTCTATCCTTCGTCTCCCAAGCCTTTATCCAACACACAGCTACTTGCGGTTGTGGGTAAAGGCGTGGAAAAGAGAAAGGAGTAGCATGAAAGGGTGAATTGCCTTCACCCCATCCAACAGCTAAAAAGAGAAGCATCTTTCATTTCTCTTCCTACCCCTTTTACGCTAGTGAGAGGCATGTCCTCCACCTTCCCATCCCTTCCTCACTCTTTCCAACCTCTCTGCTTACTCGCGAACAAAGGGGGCGACATGCCTTTCACGTCCTAGCCCAGGGGCGTGCAGGATGCTCAATGTTTTCTGATGCTGAAACTATAGAATTGAACTCTCAAAAAATACTCTATGTTAGATTTTTTAGAATTCTAGATGGTCTCAGCCCAGGAGGGGCCCCTTGATTTTTAGTTTTTCTTTTTTGAATTCTTAGACCTTTTAGAAGCTTTTTAAATGAGTTCCAAAAAAAAAACCCAAAGTTCTAAAATTCGTACCCCACATATTTAGAATTTCGAGAATATTGAGAATTCAATTCAAAAAAATCCTCAAAATCGGACCCCGAAGTTTAGAATTTTTAGAATTTTCAGAGCTCAATTCTAAAAACACTAAAAGTTCTAAAAATCGGACCCCCGAAAATTGGAATTTTAGAATTACTAAATTTCTAGATGGTCCCAGCCCAGGAGGGGCCCAGCCAGGACGCTTGATTTTTAGATTTTTTTAGAATTTTTAGAACTTTTAGAATTTTTAGAATTGAGTTCTAAAAAATCTCAGAATTCTAAAAATCGGACCCCCGAAATTTAGAATTTTTAGAATTTTTAGAATTCTAGATGGTCCCAGCCCAGGAGGGGCCAGCCAGGACCTTTGATTTTTAGATTTTTGTAGTTTTTTTGGATTTTTTAGAACTTTTAGATTTTTTAGAATTGAGTTCTAAAAATTCTAAAATTCGGACCCCCAAAATTTAGAATTTTTAGAACTCAATTCTAAAAATTCTAAAAATCTAAAAATCGGACCCCCGAAATTTAGAATTTTTAGAATTCTAGATGGTCCCAGCCCAGGAGGGGCCCAGCCAGGACCTTTGATTTTTAGAATTTTTAGAATTTTTAGAACTTTTAGAATTTTTAGAATTGAGTTCCAAAAATTCTAAAAATTCTAAAATTCGGACCCCCGAAATTTGGATTTTTTAGAATTTTTAGAAATCAATTCTACAAATTCTAAAAGTTCTAAAAATCGGACCCCGGAAAATTGGAATTTGTAGAATTTTTAGAATTCTAAATTTTAGAATTTTTAGAATGCTTAGAACTTTTAGAATTTTTAGAATTGAGTTCTAAAAATTTTAAAAATTCTAAATTTCGGGGGTCCGATTTTTAGAATTTTTAGAATTGAGTTCTAAAAATTCTAAAAATTCTAAATTTTTGGGGTCCGAATTTTAGAATTTTTAGAACTCAATTCTAAAACATCTAAAAGTTCTAAAAGTTCTAAAACATCTAAAAATCAAAGGTCCTGGCTGGGCCCCTCCTGGGCTGGGACCATCTAGAATTCAAAAAAATCTAAAAAATCTAAATTTCGGGGGTCCGATTTTTAGAATGTTTAGAATTGAGTTCTAAAAATTCTAAAAATTCTAAATTTCGGGGGTCCGATTTTTAGAACTTTTAGATTTTTTAGAACTCAATTCTAAAAAATCTAAAAGTTCTAAAAATTCTAAAAAATCTAAAAATCAAGGGTCCTGGCTGGGCCCCTCCTGGGCTGGGACCTCTAGAATTCTAAAAATTCTAAAAATTCCAAATTGCGGGGGTCCGATTTTTGGAATTTTTAGAATTGAGTTCTAAAAATTCTAAAAATTCTAAATTTTGGGGGTCCGAATTTTAGAACTTTTAGAACTCAATTCTAAAAATTCTAAAAGTTCTAAAAATTCTAAAAAATCTAAAAATCAAAGGTCCTGGCTGGCCCCTCCTGGGCTGGGACCATCTAGAAATCTAAAAATTCTCTTAACTAAGACTTGGTTATCAAGAGGCGAATGGCCCGTTCACATTATACATAAAGTTCCCTCGTACGTCCCCCCCACCCCCAAAAAACGAGAAACAGCACCTTCAAAAAGGGGGGTACCAAACACAAATAAACACCAAGGGGCACCCCGTACCCCCCCGAAAAAAAAATGAGAATAAAATAAAAGACATACACACAAAGGGTACCGGAAAAATAGACACACAACTAATTCCCCCCCCCAAAAAACAATACCCCTCTCTCGGCATCAACTCTCCCCCCGCTCGACGGGCGCGCTTGCGCCGCGGCCGGCGCCTCCGCGAAGGCGGAGCGCAGCATCAGCACGGAGCCCAGCTGGTGATTCGTCTCGGGCTCCGCCGGGGCCATGGCCCACGACTCCCTGAGGCGAAAAAAGAGCCCAAGGAGCCCCAGCGAAGCTCCAGGAAACGGACCGAAAGGGGCAAACCTCCCGAAGATCCCCAAGAAACGGAGGAAAAGGGGAAAGCAAACGGAAGGATGGTAGAAATTCGGGTGAGGGGCAACGGACTGAAAGGAGCCCCAACATCCCCAAGAAACGGAGAAGAAAGGAGAAAAAGCAGAAAGGACGACAGAAACTCCGGTGAAGGGTACATGTTGACACAAGGAAAAACCAGCCCCTCTCATTAAAGACTTCCATGTTCTGCGCGCGTACCGCCAGCCCACACAGCCAGGGGGCCCTGGTTGGCCGAGAATATGTTCAGCCTGTTTCGACTTACAGGTTGTACCTGATCGGATGCAATAAACTCTTGCCTTTGATTTGAAATGCAGAAAATGCTGGTTTCAATCCAAACATTCTTTCTGTTGCCCTGTTGTTTTTCCATCATGGGGCTTCTCACAATGGCCATGCCGAACCCCTAAAAACAAAAGCCAGGCTACCCCATATTTTCCTGCCAAAAGAAATGCAATATTTTGTTTAAGCCAAGGGGAAATGTGGGGAGCCACACAGAAAAGGGCCCCAACGGAGTTCGAGATCCGTTAGCCCCCGCCTGAAGATCTGCATCGCTTCCTCGATGCGGCCGCTGCCCAACAGCAGCTCCCCCAGGAAGTTTTGGGCCTGGTTGGGTGTGTCATTTGAGGCTTGGTGGCTTGATGTCCCTCCACTTGTTTTGCTGCGCCTTTTTGCGCAGAGGGGGGGCAACTCTTTTCAGCCACCGGTTAAACAGCAATTCGTTTTGATTATTCTTAGCGGTTTGCTGATACCTTGCTGAAAGCTAAGCTGCTAACGAGATATGTAGTAAACCCCGCTAAACAAAAATCAAAATTTCTAAGTTTGTGGCAGGGAACCGCCAAGTTTAGTAAGTAAATTTTAACCATGGTTGCTGACCGTGGCGATCACCAACTAAGCACGCCCCACATCCAAGTCCCAAGCAAAAGGGCCCTGCAAGAACAGGGCGCCAGCTACCAAACATTTGCCAGGCAGGGCACCAACGCAACACCAACCAAAACACCACTGGAGCACACGCCGCCAGAACGCTCCAGATGCGCCGGGACACCGCCAGACCGCACGAGAACACCGCCCAGATGGACACCGGAACATAGAGAGACGCTGCGGAGCGTTTCAGGAACGCGCGCCCAAGCGTTGCTCGAGTGAACCGCCTTATAACCTGGTTAAATATTTGTCAAGCATTTCCAGTTTTGGTTTGTATCTCAAATTTCAGCGCAATGAAACCATAACAAGTAATGTTGAAAAATGTAGGATGCTCATTTTTGCTGGTCCATGACTTCAGAATCCTGGCAAGAACGAGAAACTTGAGAATCTTCTCACAGCCCTTGTAGGCACTTCTTCGCTCTTAACTGTTCTATTCTATCAAAAGGGAAAACCAACAAAGATGAGAGGTCTCTTCGTCTGCTTGGTCAAATGCCCATCTGCCGAGCCTTGGGCCTCTACACGGGGATCAACGTGAGGCCACGCTGCTCTGGCACCAAACGCGCGGAATCTCGATTACAGGCCCTAGAAGTGGACTTGGTGCACTTGCGAGATTAAAAAATACTTTTGGGGGGCTTACGCGTAGGCTTGCTGACTTGGGCCTTCTGCCGTTGACGCACCAACGTTTTCGTATGTCTTTCGTCTGGGGGTCCTGCTGGGGCCTTTGTTTTCTTGCACGGATCTTCTGCCTGAGGCTCAAGAAGTTGGGACTGCAGGCGCTGTGGAAGGTTCCTTGGAAGCTGAGGTGCCAGGCCGGGGGCTTTGCGTTCTCTTGTTTGTTGCCGACGGGCTGGCCTCACACCTGCGCAGGGGACTCCCTAACTTGAAGCGCTGCATCAAAGTGCGGCTGGCTTTTCACCAATTTCTCTCTGCGGCCAGTTGCTCGAGGCTGATTCCTGATCAGTTGCGCCTGTTTCACAAGGAAATGCTGTGTTCGCAGGCTGCGTGGACGTTGTTGCGCATTCTTCGTCCTGACCACTGACTGTGTCTTGGCAGCGTTGCTCCGTGATGGGTCAGTGGTCAGTTGGGACGCGGATGGGCCACGCAGCGTGCCCAACATGCGCCCTGTTGCCCAGCTGGTTGCCACGGCCCGTTCGTTTGCTGCGCCGGCAGACGATGCGAAGGAGAAGAAGCCAATGGCTGGAAAGCCCGCAGCAAAGGCGCGGGCTGCTGCGAAGGCGTGGTGATGCAGTTTGCAATCATTCGCTCTTTCGGCAGGCGGCGTATTTTGCTTGCAAAGCAGCGAAACCCGACGGCCCACTCTGCAGGAGAAGCGTTTATGCCTGTCCCCTTGCCTGGAGGTCTCCTCTCTTGAAGCTTTTCTTCCTCTGCAGCGCTCGACAAGGTGGACTAGAACCCACAACCCTTGCTGTACCCGAAGCAATTTGGACACTGGGCCTAGTCCAGAAACTTACACATGTGTGTTGGCATTCTGGACTATCCCGACGTGTCAAATGTCTTCTTAGGCCCCTAAGAGGTATGTAGACGGAGCGCGACGAGGGCCAGGGTTTTCCTGGAGTATGCCCCGAGCAAATCTGGCCTTGGAGCACCTCGGTGTGAAACTCGTCGTTCATCTACTGTGATAACAAATGCGCAAACTCCGCCTCAAGTAAAAAAAGCCTCTTGCAATCTGGCCTTCAAGGCGACGTCGGCAGCCTCCACCAACGCGAACCGCGTCTACATTCAGTCCGGCTCTCAGCTCGTAGCGAGCCCGGCGATATAGAAGCAGGTTGTCCGCCGGCAAGCCTGCGCCTTAAGCCTACCCCGCAGTTTGAAGCCCGGCGCACGAGAGCGCCCTGCCTGCAAAGCAGCGTTTTTTCCAGAAGCCTCCCCCCCCAAAGGGAAGGTCCAGAAGGTGTTTGACCCCAAAATCAGATCTAGTCACTGAAATAAGCTGGAAGGCTACTTTCCATACTGCTTTATTTTTGGCCAGTACTTGAATTGGGAATGAAGGATTCCAGAGCTTCAGATGGATTCCAAAAGGAGCTTCGGTCTATGCTTCAACCTGATTTAGTATTGCTGGAGCTTCCTTTTGAATGTGGTTTGAGTAATTATTCAGTTTTTTGTATTGTAGGATTTCACTCTCCGTTTGATTTAATATTGCTGGAGCTCAAGATTGGGTGTGGCCCAAATGGCCCAAATTAGTAACATGTGGACCGCATATGATTAACATGGCCTGGGCACTCATGCGGGGTACCTCATGTGACCTTCTCAAAACATAACTTGTTCAAATGGATTTGATAAAGAAATTGCACGTTCAGAAAGTCAGGCTGTATTGGATCTCAGAGAAATCTGGCTGATGTTTGCGTTGGCTTGGCAATGCTTCATGGCTGTGATAGTACAAGTGCCAGCACAAAGCTGGCACTGGCAGCTTTTGGCATTGCAAAGCAAATGGAAGGCAAAATGTCAGCAGGGTCTGGAAGCAGTAGCATGGACGAAAAGATAGCAGCAGCATCGCCAGGGAATTGTTGGGAACTTTAACTTGTTATTTGGGGTGGTGTCTCCTGAATTGTTGGGTCGGTTGTGGTGGACCGCTCTAATAACATGTTTGCGTGTGGAAGAAAACCTTATTTTCATGAATTCCAGCCTTTCAATTTGTTTAGTGTTGGGGGGGGGGGGTCCTGGAAGGACCTGTTAATAACATTTCTGTATTTGCTTCAAGCGAAGTGGTGGTTTCGGATAAGGTTCCATCTTGGCATTCAAGTTGCAGAGCGGCTGATGCTTCTGAACCATGACCATACCGGGGGTGGGGGTGGGGGGGGGTGGGTGTGAGTGGGGTGGGTGGGTCGGGGGAAGGGGAGTTGCTGACTACCCCATACATAGTGGCAGGGCTGCCATTGAGCTGACCAAAGTCATGCGGGTCAAGCTCGCTCACTACGAGCGAAGCCCTCAATCATTCTTTGTTGTTTACAACACAGTTTCCTCATGCACGGCGGCCTCGCCGCCGTTGTTTGATACAAAAACAGAAGTTCGACAAACAAAACAACATGCGTAGTCTTGACTATTGATGTTTCATGTTATTAATTTGCTTCAAGAATCTTGAAAAAATGGAAACACAAGTAATGTCATGGTCGTTGCTGCCTCGTTATGTTGATTATGTTTGCAAAAATGAAAACATGAAAACATGCCACATGAGCGGGGTTTTCCTGGACCCCAGGATTGCGGGAAGACATTCATGCTGTCCGTATCTTTCTTTGGTTGTTCCTCTGCCCTATTCTATCAAGACATCAAAAAGAGTAAAAGAAACTCAACAACAATTGAAACATGCAATCCATGAAAAAATAGAGAAGTGGTCCAACCTCAAGTAAAACCTATTCGAACTATCAAGACTACATTAAGAATAGAAGAGGGCAGCAAAATACCAAAAGGGATCCTGCCACTCACGCTGTGCATGCCATTCCCTCGTACGCCTCCCCCCGCCCCCCCCCCCCCCCCTTTTCCCCGGAACCAAGAAAACTAGAGAGGTGGAACAAACCAATATTCCAACATCGTTGGGGAATTCATTTTCCCATGTCCTTCTGGTTCCCATACCCTTTTCAGGGGAACCGATTCTCTAGTGTCCTGGAAAAGGTGCCAGCGGACCATTTCAGGGTAAACCACAGCACACAATCAACCAGGGCTAATCCAGTATCAATCCATCAGTATTGACACTTGGACTCTCCGGAATAGATCCAGGGACCTACCAAACAAAGATCCTCTGCTACCACAAGGTATCGGTTCCCTTCGGGGATAAGATACCCCTGGCAGTGGCCCTCACCCCCCGCCCCCAAAGGCGCCTTGACGCTTTTGCTCCTGGCCAGGCCGAGGCGGCAGCTGGCGATGGCCTCCTCACTGCGCCCCAGCTCCGACAAAGCCACCGCCAGGTTGCTGTAAACCTGCCGCTTGAACCGGGGCAGTGTCTTTGGGGAGCTTGGGTTCGAATTGTTTGCCTCAAAGCTGGGTCTTGAAGCTTTCGAGTTGGCACAGCCCAGTTTTCTCCCCTTCCGGTCTTCAGATCCCTACCAATCAACGTCATGGTTTCAACGGTGCGAAACTCCTGGCGCAGCCCTGTCGCCAACTCCCGCCTGCGCGTCGCCCGGATTTCGGGCAATGGCCGCACGGAAGCTCTCCGCGGCCTGTCCGACTTGGCCGAAGCGTCGTTAAGCCCAACTCGTGGCTGTGGTTGGCCCCCTCAAGTTGCCCCCCGAATGAGCCTTAAGCCCTGGATAATGTGGTTGTTGGCCCCTCCTCAAAGAATGACCCTTAACCCCTAGCACTGGGAAGCTTGCCTTACCCCTGGAAAATGTTGTTGTTGGTCCCCCCCACCCACCAAGTTGCCCCTGAAGAATGACCCTCAACCCCTGAAGGCAGGAGGTTCTTTTTCTGGGAAACTTTCCTCCCCGGGATTTGCCAGGCTTGCCATGAACCGCCCAAAACTCGCCATGCAGTTGCTTTGGGATTTCCCATGGGTGGGGCTTCCCGCGGAAATGTGGCCGAGGTCCACCCCTTTCAACTGCGGCAGGCAACCCACTTGCCTCTCCTCCCCCCCTTGGCCACTTTTGAAGGCACCCACGGCTTGACACGAGTCAGAACCTTTGGGGATGCTTTGAAAAGGGCATCAACATGACGCCACCTTAAGATTGGCCCCAGCGGGTCCCCCCCCTCTGCAGCTTCAGGTAGTGACTGGTTATGCCAGGAAGCATCGAGGGCCACCTTCCCTTAGATTCCCACCAGCGAACCGCTAAGATGGTCTGTGAAAATAGGGACATCTGGACTTTGGTTTTCCTTTTGCCTAACAGACCGGCTTACCCCCCGTGCCTAGCTTGTTTAAAGCGGGGCCTGTGCTTGATGTGTTTCAATATGTCATGTTAGTGAGTTAGAAATGAGTGTTAGAAATGAGCTCATCTTGTCTCCCACTCTCCCACTCTCCGACTCCGCCTCCTCAGGCCGTTGTTGCTCGAAGAGCAAGAGGCCCAGCAAGTTCTCGTCCTCCGCCTGTCGTTTTTGAAGGGTCCCTTTTGCTTCAACTGCGCACCCTGACCCGCACACGTTGAGTGATGTGTGTTAGAGTCGAAAAGAACCGGATTCAATCCTTTCTGCTTGGAGGAAACCAAAAGGCAACCGCACACCTTTTTGGTGGAAAAAGAAGACAGGCGAAGAACATGTTCTTGGTGCACATGTTGATTGCCGTTGATTCACGGGAACTTTCCGTTGAAGTTCCCACCCCCACCCAGAATGTATGTGTGTGTGTGTGTGTGGAAATGGGCAGTGCTGGGTGTATCCAGGGGATGAACATTGGCAGAGGGGTCTGTTGGTTTCTCTTTCCAAAAAGGAAAGTCCCACTGCTCCCCACGAGGAGTTGCATTCACAAACCCCCCCCCACCAAAAAGAAAAACATACAAAAAAACAGAAGAACCATGAGCGGCTTTCTCCTGATTTCCCTTGGAACCAAACACACAAAGCAGGTTCTTCGCTTTAGGCCCTTTGAAGCCAGCTTTCCCTGAACCACGAGCTCAGAGTTTGCTTCCGGGGGTCCTCTGATCCCCCCAAAAATGGCTCAAGGGTTTCTCTAGCCCATCTATGAAAACGGTCTTCCAAATCCCAGATCGAAATGGGAACTTTGCTGGTAGTCATGTTGCATCTTGAAGTAAGTGAAGGCTCGTGAACCTGTGGGGCACTGCTTTGGTCACTTCTCCACCGTTTGTAGCGTCCTTGGACTTTGGGCTCCCTGAAATGTGTTAATTCCTCGGAAATGGCCTAAGAAATGGCTTTTCAGCCAGGTCGGCTTGTTTTTTTACCCTAGGTGAGCTCGTGACAACTTGCCTTGAAAACAAGCGAAGCCAACAGGAACTGGGTGATGTCGAGAAACCACAACAGTAGAGAAAGATTCGCTATGTCGCTTTTTAGGACTTGGACCCCCCGAATTGGCTTCGGTGTTCCGTGTCCTTAACCAAAAACGGGGTACCAAAGGGGGAAAGAAAAAAAAGACGCAGCCCAATGTGGAAATGACCAATGAACCAACCCGCCGGGGGCTTCATTCAACCACGGAACCGGTGATTCCTCAAGAACCACAGGGCTCCCGAAAGGTGCCCCTTTGCGCACCCCAACATCATTGTCTCACTTCAAGTTGGCCCAAAAGGTGATGTTTAAACCAACAACAACAGGGATCCTTACATTATACACCTGAACATTGCCTTGTAAATTGTGGTTCCCCTCTATTTTGGTGGAAAAGGCCATGTTTCATTGGGCAAAATGTGTCTTTTAAGAAGCCCTGAACAAGGGGGAACCCCGGCGAAAGTGGCCCAATCCAATGGCTCTGTTCTACTCCGTGACACAGACCCAACACCCAGCGAAACTACCCAAAAGCTTCAAACACAACCAACCAAAAACTAACTCTCCCCCCCCCAAAAAAAAAACATACATAAACTGCTCAAAACTGTAGGGCCCCAAAAAGAACCCGCCGAGCTTGTTCCCTCGACGCTTCTCCGAACCGAACGGCGCCTGCGGCGACAGCTGCAGCGCGCGCCGCAGCGCCGCCTCCGCCTCCGCGGGCCGTTGCTCCCGCCTGGCGATTTCGGGGCCCAGGTGAGTCACAGGCCCAGGTAAGGGGCAGTCCCAGCCAGGAATAGTGGGGGCCGCCTTGACTTGGAAGCGGCTTATGTAGCCGGAGTTAAGTGGTATTCAAAATTTAGGCACCTGTGTGTTCATGTACTACTTGTATAAGGGGCCGGGGCCCAAAGAATTTCGTCAGGTGCTTATTCAGCCCTACTGGATGGACAAAATCCATTCGCACCACGAAATGAAACCATGGTTGAAAGTTGAAACCATTGTTTGTTGGTAGGTACAATAGGCAATCGACTCGTTCCAGGGTTTCTTAGGTGGTGCAGGATTTCGTCCCTCCACAGTCAACTAGTAATCAAATGCCAGTATATGTTCATACACCACTCGTGTAAGGCTACAATGGAAAGTGGACAGACCTTCCGCCTTCCATGCTTGCAACTGTTTGAACTACCCTCCTTAGGTCAGGGATCCGGGGTGCCTGTGAGTATGGCGAATTGGCGGACCCTTCTTCCAACCATGAGGTACTTTGATGCTAAGGCACACACCATGTCAAGTTCTTCATCGGAATCCCTCTTTTTCCCCCAGCATCGATCGATCCGAAATTATCCGAATGGACCTCTTAGTACCCTCGGGGCGTCTCGCCATGTCCATGAAGCTTGAAAGCTGAGTCTCAATGAGATGCTTGTCAAGCAGTGACAAATGGGATCTCTATCTGTGTCACGTCCACTAGGTCTGCTCATGGTGGTGCCGAACCAAAAGAACCTAACAGAAAACCACCATTGCCCCGTTCCCCCCACCATCGGCAATCAGTTAGCAAGTAAGTATACTGTGGGCATTCATCTGTTTGCGGGCGCTTGGTTTTCCCCAGCGAACTCTGCCCAGCTAGGTGCCATGTCTAAGTGTCTTGGGAGATTAATCAGAACATGACTCTGTTGATGTCCTTTCGGGAAATTACCCACTCGCGGGTTTAGCATCCAGCCAGACCTGGCGGGGTTCCGGATCATCCTGAGGAGTGAGGAGTACAATTCAGCAGAAAATAAGACTTGAATCCATTTCCAATTGAAGGACCTACCCTCCAACGTATCAGCTGTGGGAAGGGACGTAATGATCAAGCTCCTCAAGGGACACGTTGCCACGGCGTCCGCTCCGATCCGCATCGGAGCCCCCGCCTCAAAGACCTGCCCAGCGCGCTCCAGGAAGCAGCGTCGCCGGCATCCTCACGGAAGCCGCATATCAGAGAATACGGCTCTGGGGGGGCGCTTCTCAACATAGAGCCCTCTTTCTTGGTTGACGTTGGGTTAGTGGAGCAAAAATTGAAATAAACTTTAGCGGTTAAGTGGATTTGGATTTCAACCACGAAAAACCACTATAAGCAAAAATGTAAATGTTTCCCAACAACAACCATGCTTTGTTGGATGGTCACACAGGTAATTTCAGGGGAAACCAACAGACCGATCACAGGGCGCTACCTTTGCAAAGCTTTATCTCGGCAAGAAGTAAATAACACCGGAACTGCTCAACCCAGTTGAAACCCCTCCGACTTACCATCACCTGTCATACTTGCCAACGCCGCTCGCCGCTCGCCGCTCGCCGCTCGCCGCGGTCGGTGAGTCGTGGCTCCGCGCCTGCGCCCAGACGACTGACGCCAGCGCAAGGCCCACAGCGGCGCCCATGGGGCTGAACCAGGGCGAAGGCGGATGCAGAGGTCAAGACCCGGGGAGTTCCATCGGGAGAAACGGGGACTCGGAGTTTTACTTTTGGCAGCTTCAGAGGCAAGTGATTTCAAGAAAAGGGGAGCGACTCAAATGGTGGCTTGGAATGCGGGGAAGAACCTAAGGCCCCCACCCCAAGGTTCGCAAGGGGCTTCTTGGAAGGGTGTTTGTTAAGTGTTCTAGGGGGGGGTCCCTATTTGTTGGTTCTTTTTCATGGCCCCAACCAACTCGGAGGTGGAACGATTTGTAGAATCCACAGCTACATCCACCATTTTGACAGCCTCTCACGTGCTGGCTGACTTTGATCCATTTCCAGCAATAGCAGTGCGCAACCAAGCAGCAACATCTGATTCCCAATGAGGAAGCACGCACAGTGAAGAACTGTGGCTTTCGAAATCAGTCCTTCTTTCCCAAAAAAACAGAGCATGGTCGCTTCCCAAAAGGCAATCAGCCTGTAGAACCCATCGCAAATGGGGATTGCCGTTTAGTGTGGCTTCAAATGTGGCAATCGGAAGCAATGACAGGGCTCCCTATACCGTTCCAGTGACTCCATTTCCCATTTTACTTGCTGGTGCTCAGGGAATGACCCAGGATGTTGAGAATGAACCTAGGGATTCCCTTAAAGGAAACCCCGTGATGGTTTCTAGGGGTCGTTCCCCCGTGATGGTTTTTGGCACCAACCCCACAATTAATGTTAACCCTGCCCCCCTGATTAGAAAAACATAGTCGACCCACATATACATAAAAACAAACAAAAACAAACGGAAGAGCAAAACACAACTTATTACATAGTGCTCATAAAATAAGCTCACGTGATATCCCCAACAGCATGTGTGCTCTTTTTAGCGCCCGCACCACCACGCAGCCCTCGCAGAACCTTGTGGAACCCTGGTTGAACCCTGGTGGAACCCTCGTGGAACCTTACCTCGGGGCCGCCCCGAACCACCCCGGAGCCTATCTGGGCTGAGACCTCAAAGCTTTCAGCTGTTGGGGAAAATGTTCGACAAGCTCACAAGGCCAGTCCCGCCAAAATTATCCACTTGGGGGTACCGCTTTTGGGAGTTTGAAAGCACACTAGATACTATCAGGGTAAATCCTCTTAGGTACGGTACTTTCCAAGTAAAGTTGCCAGCCTCTTCCCAACTGGGGCATCCAAGCATGCCGCTCTTTTTCCAGATTCAACACGGAAGCCGTCCATCGCCGGGTCTGCGCTCAATGCGTAGGGGAGCTGGCATTGGGTGCAAACTTCTCCTGACAAAAATCCCGAACCCGAGCCGACTGACTCAAGAGCTTAGGACCTGGTGAAAGCAGCTGCAGTTCCGTTCATTTAAGTCAAGCCGGGGACTCAACAGGAGGTGTGACTGCGACTCAAGTGGATGGAGTGTAGCACAAAGAAGTCGATGGATGACTGGATGTGTGCCATCTTTCATGCAACTTTGAGAAGAACAAGGACAGAGATGAGCTCTAAAAGCTCGATTCGAGCCAGGAGTTTCAGATGAAGAAATACGCAGCCACCACACCTCGTGGGGCGCGCGGGGAGCCCCAGCGAACTTATGATACCAAGGGTGGGGTTGTCTGAAAATAAAAGGACCCACCATGGTTCCCTTTTGAAAATCAACCAGAACAAAAGGTGCCATCGAAAAAGACACTCATGAGACTCGTAGTAAGCCCTCAGCCCAAGCTTGTGCCCCAAGATTGGAATGGAGGATGCGCTCTTGTCCCTTGCTCTCGAGCGATGTGCGCCCCACAAAGAGGCCCAAGGTCATGGGCCTCTCTGGGTGATCCCGGACAAGTCACAACTACGCCAAAACTTAGAATAGTTGGTCATGTGTGAAAGTAAAGGGCCCCTCAAATGTCGTGTTTTCCTTTTGAACCATTTTGAGAAGGGGACCGAGCCTCAAAAAACGAGGGTCCCACGCTAGCGAGTCACTCCAACCTGGAGAAAGCACGGAGGTTCTACTCCCAAGCACCCTTTTCAGGTTGGGTTTGTGGAAGCTCGCATTTTGGGGGGGTCCAAATTTCCAAATCGCCATGCTTTGACATTCATGAACATGGAACCCCACAAATGGGTCCATAGGCGATTTTGCGAACACTGCAGAGCTTTTGAGTCTTCCAATATTCAACAAACGCATCATTTAGTTGTTCATCTTTCTGACTGGCTTCGTAGATAAACCCGACCTCCCCAGGACCAGTCTCTGAGCGGTAACCTTGAGAAATGACCAACAAAGGGATGTTGGCACGCTCTCAAATGCTATGAAACAGGAGTCTTACCAAAGAGCTGTTAGCACGTTCTCGCGTTTGGGTCCCTCAATTTCCCCCTTCGAACCTTCAGTGACCCTGCCATGGGAACCCGCCCAAGTTGCTGAGGAAACGCAAAAAGTGCATGTTGCCGGGTCCCGCAGGCAACTCAAAGGTTCCTTTGAAGCGACGAGAAATAGCGAGAGGAACAAAAGAAAAGGCCAACGGTCCCAAGAGGTCGCTTGCATCTGAAAATCACCTGGCGATGCATCCAAAAGTGGGAAACGTTTCGAAGCTGGTCCCTTGAACCATGGCAAAACTTGGAGCAAGCCCAGCGATTCCGTGTGTATAGGTACCCCGCATGAATTCCACTGAACCGCTCTCAATGGCTGGTTGCCGTAGATCCGAAAGGCCGAAAATCCACGGGCGCCGCCTGATTCGCCGCCTGCAGCCAGCACCGCTCCTTGAGGAATCCGCGCGCGCAAAGTGTGGGGGCATAGTGACACCTTCAGTACCTAACTTGATGGCATCAAGTACCCACCCCCCCAAAAAAAACGAAAAAGGTACCGAACTTGATGGCTGTTCCCAATGCCGTTAAAGCTTAACTGTTGTGATGCTACTCGGTTTCCCCAAGTTGAAGGTTGGACAGAAATCAAACCTAACGGCAAGCCATGTAAATGTGGCATTAAAGACCCCCCCCCCAAACAAAAAAAAGACACCGAAAAATCTTCAGAAGTCACCCTGAGCTGTGAGATCCTTGGCAAGAACATCCACGTAGAATTCACAAATGGGAGTCTTTTTTGAGGGTTGAGGGTATCATGGGTACCCCCTAAAGGAAGTCCCACCCAAATTGGAAGGAAGGAATCCCCAACAAGTCTTGTGCTCGTCCCGATCGGTGAGCTCGTCCTATCTTGAGTGAGAACCTCATTGGCAAGAAGGTGCTTTTGAGCCCCCCCCGGGCCCAGGCGAGTCTGACTTGCTGCTTTCTGCGAACTCTTTGGCCATTGCACAGGGGAGACCTGGGCCCAAAGGGGTTGACAGCACCAAGCCAGGTAGATAAAACATGGAGCACGTGAAACTAAGGAAGTTTGATTCTGTGAGCCTCGGTCATCGTTGGCTTCTCATTCTGGAACATCTGGAAGTTGCTCACATCTCCCCGTTGGAAACTGAAGTACTCAAGTCAGATTGGCAACTTAAACGCTCCAAAAGGCAGATGAATGCACCTGACAAGTGGACTCAAAAGCAGAGAGTCCAAGTCCTTCGCTCCCCCCACCCTTGTTTGTTGAGAGGACGCATCTGCGAACTTCGCCTACCCCAAGTGTTTCCCCAACCAAAAATGTGTTGCTTGCTTTTGGCAATAAGCCTCATGAAACACATGTAACTATATATATATATATATATACACACACATATACATATACGTGTATATGATATATGTATATAAATGTTTCTTAGAACATCGGCGGATGAATAGATACTAATAATAAGCAAACAAATATATTTCGACGCATCTCTCTGTGTATATGTATATACAATTTATATAATGGTATCCGTTTAATCCTAAAAAAAAATGATGTGTTTCGAAAGATCCCAGCAAAAAAAAGGCGCACCACGGATCTCCTCATAGCAAAGGCCGCCGTAGGACTCCAGCAGCTCGACCATGGCCTGGTGGGACCTGGCGCCCGGACCTCACCTACCCCAGGGCTTAGTCCATGCTTCCACTTGCCAGGGGTCCCATTTTTGGGTACATATTTTTTTGACCCACGGCAAAATGCCCAAAAAATTCTGACCCGCCAGGAAATATGGACAGAAGTGACTCCAGGTCAGGGTTCCACTTCTTGACAACAGGGTAGACTTAAACCCAGGGAGGGTTCATTCCCCAAAAGAAGAACCCCTGGGTTTAAGTCCATCTCAGGGTTGTCAAAAGGTTGTTTTCTGGGGTTGCCCTATTTTGGCCCCTCAAACACTTCTTTGGACCTCCAAAAGTGGGGAATTGGGTTGGAACCCACCAGCAAACCATGGTGGCTTTCTGCTCCCCTGCTAAAGCTTGTCTTTACTTTTCGTGGCTTGATACGGAAAACCCACTAGTTGGCAAAAAGCTGTCCAGTCCTAACATCCGAGCAAAATGCCCAAACCCCACCATTCGGATCGCAGGTTGGGATCGCAGGTTTCCAGGTAGGGCGATCTGCTTCGCCGGATGCCATGGGCGGGTGAAGCAGAAACCTCCGTGTTGATAAACATAACTCTTCACAATATGTCCGCGCAACGAACATATAATGTGATAAATAGGTCGTTTAAAACATGTGTGACAAATAATGAGCAAGAACTAGCAACTATATAACTTCATTAGATTAATGGATTTTCATGAGTTGGACCATGATTTGCTTTTTAACATGATGTCAGGGAAATTATAGCTTGTTTCTAGCTAGATTCTAAGAACCTGATCCTGGGTTGCGGAGAGCCTCCGGTTATTTACTAAGAATTACCCACCCACTAGCGGGCCGCTCTTACAAACGAAAGAGGTCTTTCAGGAGCCCCCTGGTCAGGCTAGATTAACACGGACCCCCCAAAAAGCCTGCGTGTCTAGAGAAAACCTTCTTTTGGAAATTGGATGCCTTTGGGGAGTCACCATTTTGGGTCCTTTTCACACATAAGCTTGATCGCTTTCAGTTGTGCAGAATGCACAAAGGAAAACCCAGACCCAATTGGCCGGCGCGTATTAATATGCCTTCTCCCGAGTCAGCCCGGAACACCACCACTTTTGGGGAGGCTCCGCGAACTTTGCGATGCACGCATGTAGCTTTTGGCTTCACATCCCTTGCCCTGGCTTTTGGCTGGCTGAAGAGGAAAAGGAAACCCACCAAAATGAAGGAACCCAGTGAAACAATTAGAGCAAAGGATGGCAAACAACTGCCTGAACGTAGGTTGCCAACTGTCACAACACTAGAAAAGGACCTGTAAGAGGGCGGCGTCCCTTATCCCTTTAACATATAAAAATAAAACCGGGCACAAGCCCAACACTTGCCAAAGAGGCCAGTGCCAGAAAATGGCAAATCTGAAATGGATGCAAAGCACCTTGGCGTAAATGTGCGAGAAGCTACCAAACAGTGTCCTGCTCTCCCTGGGTTAGTTAGTGTCAGTTCGAAGTATCCGTCCCAAAGCTTCGCAAACATGGGCAACTTGCGAAACCTCTTGCATGCCAAAAGACATTCGGCAGTGGTTGTTTCTGTAGACAAAAGGTAGCAGTGGTAGTGACAGTGGTGCTAAGTAAGCTCAAACCAACAAACAAACCAACAAACAAACAAAGAGTTCAGAAGGAAGCCGAATCACTATAGCAGAGCATTTGACCCTCACTCTTAGAGCTTCGAAACACTTCAGCGACACAACGCGCTGTGCAACTGAAACGTTTCAAGTGAGGGTGCCCGAGGAAGAAACAATTTCAGCCTGAGGCCTCGGCGGTTGCAAAACGGAAAGCACTCAAACGGCCACGAACGCGGCAGCAGCAAAACTAGTACTGTAAGCGACACACACACATGCGCACGCATGTGGAACCGAGAAAGCGCGGAAACAACTCTCGAATACGCGAAACCCGCGAAAACGAAACGCAAAAGCACGAAAGCTGCGACAGGAGACGAGCACGGAAGGAACACGCCTTCCAACGGTGGACACACCAAAGCCCGGGAAGGGCCCTGTAAAACACGAGTTTTAGACCAGACGCGAGGGCGGCCCCGCGCCTTCCGCCGGCTTGATTTCCGAAAGATCGGGACTCAACCCAAACCGGCGATAACCCCTTCAAAATCAATACGGAACCCAAAGGCGCACCGCCTTTTGATCAATTAGTGGTTGTGATCAACAGATTCTCATGAAAAATCATAAGAACTGGTCCTTTTTTTTCAACATCAACGGAACATCAACCAGTTTTCCTCTTCAAATGGTGGTGTTCGGGTTCCGTTTCAATCTGTCGCGGAGTGATCAGGGGGTGAGCAAAGACCTATCAGGGAATCGGGGCCCGGCTATGGACACGTACTCCCAACCCAGTCGAGTGCAGTTGTCGGAGCTGTGCCTGTTGATCTTCATCTGAAGGCCTCAGGTACCAGCGCTTAGCACCACAAATCTTCCGCAACTTCGCCGGAATCCCACATCGCTGACAAAGAATTGGATGCCCAGGGTTTGAAGACAACTTCGCGGAGGTTCATTTGTGACGCTCATATTTGGCAGCATCTTGAGTCTCCATTCCTTTTGGCTACATGGTAGGTCCAGTTCCTAAATTCAAGGGGGCAAATCCAACTCGCCCATCCTCCGGTTATGCAGGAAGCAGCTCGACCCTTGCAAATACCCAATCAAGTTCGAGGTGCAACAGGGATTGCCGTTTCCTCACCGCCACGAAAAATGATTGCCTTTGTGTAAAAAGCCGTTGCCGGCAGTCAAGTCTTTTTAGCTAAGGGAAAGGCAAGCTCTGCTTGAAAAGCGATAAGTTGTCCTCGGCAAATTGCACATCACCCCCCTGTAACTATGTCGTGAGCTATGAACCACTTGGTCAGTTACCACTTTGAAAAGTCTGGGCCGGGGGTTGCAATGGTTCTTCCTATCCCTAAGCCGGAAGCTGGCAGTTCAAGTGGCTTCACACTTGAAAAAAGCCCAGTGAGCGCTCAGGGGACCCAGAAGCCCAAAAATCCCAGAGACTCCAGTGATGTGTGCGACCGGAACCCATGCTCCCAACACCAGACTTGCGGCTGATCCAGCCACTTTCCTGAAACCTACGCTCAGCTGCTTGAGCCGCAAGATTCCCATGTTTTGATCACAGCAGCATATCTGCCAAGGACTGCCTTTGGCAAGTCTTCTACGTGCCAAGCTGGACTGAAGGGTCTCCAAGCTCCACGGACAAGGGGCATTGAGCCGTTCAACTCCCCCATGCCCCTCCAAAACGGCCATTCCATGCGCTGATGTGTTAATATGGGTGTGGCAATCAAAATCAAACGATCGGAGGGGCAAACCGCAGGTGTTGGTCCATGTCTCCACTTACCAGGGCAAACCATTTTGGAATTCCGGTTTTTTGAGCCGCAGCCATATATTTGACCGAACCGCACACGCAGTCACTAACCTCTAACGAGGGTCGCCTCCGAGCAGAAAGGTCGCAAACCCCCTTTGCGCCAGATGTAATCGAGTGCCCTATCATTACTGATTTTGTTGCTTTCCGAACCAAGGGCCGGGGGCATCCGTAGTGGCCTCAAACAATACAACCCAAACATGTAGGCGAAAACAACTCTACATAGCAAAGTGGATTTTCGGCTTGTGTCTGTCTGAAGTGAAGGACTTTTGGAAGGAGTTGGAGGGCTTGGAGCAAGACAGCTTCATGGCACCATCGAATGACAAGCTCCTTGGAGCCGTTCCCGCGGAATCCGCGGCGAAAAATCGGGGACCCGTGGCCCAGTTTTTCTGGGGAACCCGCCAAAGAACCAGGGAAAACCGGGGCTACTTAACCAAAGAGGGACTTGAGCCTTCGTTTGTGGGTCTTATACGGAACCTGGAAAATCGTTGCAGTTTCCGTTTGGCTCTTTGGCTTCCCGCTGGTGGGGTGCAAACAGGGACCCTTTCAGAGCCATGCCGATTCGAAGAGGGCGGTTCGCGCTCACGGCTTGCCGGCGAGTGAGGCCCCAGATGGAACTTTGCTTGGGTGTATGTGTGTGTGTGCGCGTGTCTTTTTTGGAGGGTACCCTGTTTGGGGTAGATGCAGAGGAAAACAAAAATTCCTTCTATTTGGACACATACGAGTACCCACTCCACTTAAAGGGGGCCAAGGCCTGATTTGTGAAACCAGCTTCACTCACGGAACTTGCTTGCTTTCCAAGATCGTCCCAAGGAAAGCAACATAAATTCATTCTCGTTTGGAGGGTTCACCCGAGGCTTGAAACATCCACAATCGTAGTGGGCCAACTGCATGTCGCCTTTGCAACCCGCCCTTTACGCACCGCCGGGGACGTGGAGCATGGAAAACCCGTGCCGGAAAACCTGAAATCAGAGTTAATCTGGTCCTGAAGGAATATGTGGCGATGTGTCAGAATAGGGGGACCTCACAACAAAAACTTGGCTGGAACTTGAACCCCAGCAAATATATATATATATATATATATATATATCTTTTTTGCCTGGTTGGTGGAAAACAAAGGAGACCCCAAAAAAGCCCCCCCCCAAAAAAAAAAAAAAGGAACTAATTCTGGGGAAGAAAAGTCCTCGATGTCCTTTTGGTTCCCCTTGAGCCCACCTTGAAAAGGGTGGTGACGACCAATCATTACAGCTAGAGCCACATGTTGATTTTTAGTTCGAGTGAGATGTTGGTTTTGACTTTCTGACGGGGTCAGTTTGGCTCGGGCCAACAAGTCAAGTCGAAAACCTTGGAATCGCTGGACTCCAGTCGCCTTTGATCCCTTTCGAAATGGAGGTAATCTCATCTACCGACCTTGCGTGTGGGAAAGAACCCTTCCTCTGATACGATGTTTGGGCAATCCCTATGACTAGTCTACTGCTTTAAGGGGGGTTCCCCTGGTATCACAAGAGACAGGCCTCAAGAAGAGTACCAGGCATCAAGTCTGACCTAGCGGTTCCGTGGGCTCGTCGCTAATCGTGAACCCCTGATGCGTAAGTGTCCTTTCCCCCTGAAACACTCCAAATGAAAGGTGTCCTTTTGGTTTAAAAAGAAGAAGCACTGGTAAATCACTGGTAAATACTTAGAACCAACCTGCACCAGTAGAACCCATCTATTTTCAACCAAACTGACAAATAAAGGCCATACCCAAATGAGTAGGCTCGAGAAAAAAGCTCGCGTGCATATCCAGCCAGTCTGGCGTGCCTGCGGGGAAACAGCGAAGAAACCTGGCAAACGAGGGATTGATGCCACCAACGCTGAGGGAGCTGCAAATGCACAAAGGGCATGTGGCGAGGTTTTGATGGACACCCCATTTGTCTGCAAAGGGTCTAATGGCCGGTAAGGTCACACCAAAAACGCCAGGTCAAGCCCTGAGCCTCACGGGATCCTCGGCGGGATCCTTCAT